GACAGGCTTGGCTGCTGTGCCTGATTGTCTGCTCTCCAAAAAGGAAGTTTTCAGAAGGTTTTATTTTTCCAGGTTTTCCTCTAAAGCTAGCAATGCTGAGCTGCTCTGCTCTTTTTTTTTTTTGGGGTGGGGAGTGTGTTTTTCTTTTTTTGGTTGTTGTTCCTAATGCAATGGCACAGGTAACACACAGTACCCCCGCTAAGCCAGGAGGCCCCCTCTGCAGTATTTGGTTGCATTTGGGCACTGCTTTTCCCTGTCAAGGCATTCCTGGGCAAGGGCAGCGTATCTGATATATATTGTATTGTTTTGGCTGCGGTGTGTAGGATGCTCAGACAAACATTTCAGTTCAGGTTTCAAATATACACAAATACCTTTTCTCTCACTTCTTTACAGAAGACCCAGTCTACCCCAAGGCTTGGTGGTACGCTGGCTCCCTGTGCTTTGTGCAGGAGAGGCACCACTGGGCTCCTGCTGCTGCCAGGGACCTGCCTTGTTCTTCATGCAAGCCAAAGTCATGGGCACAAAATAACCCATCCCCTGGAGTGTGGCTAACTCGGGGCCTCAGCTAGGACCAGAAGCATGGCTGTCTGCATTGATCTACTGACTGCCAGTGATTTTAGCAAGCACAGGGTTTGGTTTTTTTTTCTAGCCAGATCAACTTAGAAAGCGGTTTGTTAACTGGATGCACATCCATTGCAGGAATACTCTTCAGGTGGTTTAAGAGTATCATATCAGTTATGCTTAAAGACTGAGTCTGGTTTAACTACATAGGTTTTAAGACAACCTTGGAATTAAAATGAAGCAAGGCTGTGTACAGACAAATGATTTTTTTTTTAAGCTAATACTTAAATAAAGCTGTGGTTCGTGCTGTGATCATCATACATAATCAAAAGATGGCACACTGCTGTATCTCTGGAGTCCATTACCACTGAGCTTGTACTGTGCACAGTGCTGAATGCGTACAGGTTTGGGAAAATGCTTATTTTTAAAGATGGTTTTGAATACTTTACTTGAGCAGAATGCATTTATTCTTCCCTGAAGAGGGACTGTAATATTTTAATATGATTATCACCAGCACAATAGCAATGAAAGGAACAAACTTGAACATATGCATATAAAAGTGACTATGTCCTAGAAAGAATTGGGGGGGGGGGGGGGGGGGGTTTTTGGGGGGGGGGGAGGAATTTAATTGCATTTATCTGTTTTGGTGACTACTTTTTTCAAGTGTCAGCTTTCTGATAGTCTTTTCATATGGAGCAATAGTTTATGCCACAGAAAATTATGTAGTTTTCTGAATGAGCTAAGATGTTTCAGAATCCCTCAGAAAAGCAGAGGTGGTGATACAGGAGCAGCCAGTACCGAGGGGGGCTTTGCTCCTCAGCATTCGGCTGTACCTTGCAATAGGCTAGGCAGTGGCTGGTGGCGTGAAGATAGCGGAGATGAGATTGGGCTGGAGATAACACTGTGCATAGACAAACTAGAAATTAGAGTGAAGAATTGTCCTGGAGTTTGCCCTGGAGTAACTTTTTCTTGGAACATTCATTACCAGCTGCAGATCTTGACTGCATTTGTTTGAAAACAATTCAGTTAATATGTGCCTTGGTAGACAGTACAAGTCCCTTTCTAACTCCAGCTGTGAATTCTGCAGCGAATGCTAAGGAGGTATCTGACAGGGTCTGTTTGTTTGTCTTTGTGCAGTAACAAATGTTGCTTTCTGGGTGGTTAAAATAATATTTCCTGGTATCTGGGGTACTGTATTTGTCAAGCAAGTATAGGGGGGAAAAAAAGCTCATGCTCTCTGATGTTAAAGACTGGCAGTTTTTTAAAAGAAGGTCTCCTTCAATGAACTTTCGACAGGTTTTTGTAACATCTCTCTTCTAAAGCATGTGAAGCAAATAATGGTTACTTACTGAATGGATAATTATTGGGTTATTTACTCATGGATAATTAACTGAAAAAGTGAAGCTGAGGTATCTGATGATCACAGAAAATATTTTATTGCAAACGCTGTGTGCTCCACCACAACGAATACTGCTTTGAATGTATGACGAGCAAAGAAGATGCACCAAATCACAAAATAAAAAGGGGAAACATATTTATTTCTTCCCTCAGAAGCATTAGATTCCCCACTTTCTGATAATATCACACTAGAAGCAAGACTTAGGTGAGTCACTGTTCAAGGACAAGCTTAAAAACCAAATAGAAGTAGTCAAGGTATATTGTAAAATTGCTGCTGTGACTGGGATGATACTTAACTTCTGGCCCGAGTGTTGGGATACTCCTTTCGTGAGCAGTGCATCATGCAGCATCATGTGCCCTTTCAGTCTGTGTCGCAGTCTCAGGTCTTGCCTGATAGTCCCATCCCGTTCACTGCAGAAGAGCCTTCCTCTTCAGCTTACTTGTCTTGAGCAAGTCCTTTCTCCCATCCCATGTGTCCAAGATGTTACTAAATCTGTTACTGTTTTTTCCCTGCAATATTGGAAATGACTGCCCTTCTCTGTGCTGGCTTAGACAGGCTCTGGAGGCCCTGGTCTTGCCCATCACTGCCGTAGCCCTTCTCCTGCATGCCGGCTGCTTGGGGCTTTGCCATTGCTGAGGAGGCATGCCGCTCCTCCCTGCCTTCTGCCCTGCATCAGGTTTCAGCTCCTTCGTCTCGTGTCCCTGAAGAGCAACGCTGTACCCTGGGACCTCTCCACGAATCCTGGCTGGTTGCTGCTCCCTCTTTGGCCTGTTCTTTGCTCCCAGCTTTTCTGCGAGTGGATTCCTGAGGGAATGTTTTTTGTTCCTGTCCCCCTAAATACCCATTTCTCCCTTCAGGCCTGCATACACTGAAAAAGATAAAGGAAAGACTGTTGTTGTTATTGTTTAGCTTATTAAAAAAAAAAGTTAGGGCGAGGCTATATTATCAGACAATCTTGACTGTTTGCATACTGAGATATACAGGGGTCTTGTCTCTTGCACTGTACTTGTACAGTGGCATAATGACAGTCTCAGGAGGCTTTTCCACCTGTGCCGTTACCTTGTAGAGGGCTCAGTACTCTTCCTCCCTGTTTAACATGGTGTTATCTGCTCCTGTGTAGCTGTTCCTGAAAAGGGCTGATTTTAAATTGTCATTTATGCACTTTCTCCTCAAATTTTCTCTCAACTACTAAGTTTTTTTAAAAACCCCTAAATTTAAAGAAATAGACTATAATACTTCTCAACCCAAGTCACTGGAGTGTTGTACGATGATTAACTAATTAATTTTACTTTTACTTGTAAGTATAACATGATGTTGTGTGAGTACTAGTGGTGATGTATAAAATGCTGTCATCCATGCGACTTCGGTCACAACTGCAGATGCTCGGCTCCTCCTTCAGTCGGTCCCCAGAGTGAGCAGCACTACATACCATTCCAGTTCACTGACTCTGCATTTAGCAACCAATGCAGGTCAACAGTGCGTGAGGTGAACAACCACTGTGAAAAATGCACTGAACTAGATATTTTTTGATGAGAGCAAATGCCCATTAAGTGAGGAGTGGAAAAGAACCACCTTTTTTCTTCCACAGATGCCCAAACCCCAGTTTATGATACTTAAGGGTAAATATGCAATGTGAAGTATAGATAGATGAAGAACAGTGGCTTGTGTATGTGAACCTGGAAAGTAGTAATAGCATACTACTTCTTACAGAGACTGAAATGTCCTGCGCTAACGTGATCTTTGGCAATCATTGCAGTCAAATGGACACTTTATTTTTAATTTTATCAATTAAATTTATCCTATGGTAAGGACAGAGTAGAAAAAGATTTTAGGACCTCCAAAACTGCCACCAAGTTTTCTAAAAGATTTGGATTTTATAACTCTTATGGATGAAAACTTCTGTATATCCACAGTCATGTAACGACTTGTGACATATGTAGAACTGATGCTGATTACGTTCTGTTCTTTCCCACCATGTCACAACTGCTGTAGAGTTGATATCAGTTTACCAGAAAGGCCACCCTTGGTTGTAGAAATGTTCAGGATGAAAACACCAGGAGTGATGAGGACCCATAGTGATGTGCATTTTAGCAGAAACACCTGTGGGAAGTTTGCATGTTGGCTGCAGTCATCTGCAGTCCAGACAAGTGGTGCCATTTGTCCCTCACTACCATGAGAACTGAATAGACCTGCAAATGTTAAAAATGAGAGATGTCCTTCAAGAAAGCATATAACCAATAATTAATGCAGTATTTTCAGAAGTTACCCTCTATTTTTAACTAGCATCAGTAAAGTCACAGCAAATGACAAGAATTTAGTCATGATGGTAAAAAAACCATACTATGAACTGGTATTTGCCATTCTTCTTTATTCAGAGCTTATTCTTCAAATTCCCATGCTAAAGTGGTGGCTTAAGGCACTACTCACTTGACTAAAGGTGACAGGAAATACTTGTTACCCTCTGAACAGAGTCAGCTCAACCAAACCTGGCTCCCCGGCAGTATTTCTGGAGAAAAACAAACTAAAACTCCAGATCAGAATGGTTGCAGACTTGAGGGTTTAAAGAAACTGAATTTGAACCCGGACTTCCCAAACATCAGTGACTGACCTGAGGACTGGAGCAGTGGATAGTGCAAATCTATAGCCAGATCTGTAACCCTGATCTATGGACTTCATGGGGCCAGTCTCTGCTGGGACTCTTGCACTGTAGAGGTGCTGTAAAATGCAGGCAGATCAACACAGAACAGGAGTGCCATTATGAGATTGGCAGACCAGTCTGTGTGACAAAAAACACCAAAAGACTGGGATCTGTGTGTATTTAAACATCTGATGTTTAAATACATCAAGATGTGTTTGACAAAGTCTTGGGAATAAAATGTAATGATACTATCTTAAAATATGCATGATATTAATCTTCCCAAAGCCAGGGATCACAACACTGATCTAGCGTGCCAGCGTAACTTATGAAAAGCTCTGAAGCATTTTTATCCACTGGTGGAGTGAAGGAAAAGAGATGACAAACTCTACTGGTCTTTCGAGCATGCCCTTGGATCACATACGAAGTCTGATAAACATGTCAAGGAAGGTATCTTAGAGCTAGATTTTAAAGTTTGAAGATCTCAGACTTGTTGATCCTTGCCTTCGGTGAACAACACAGCTGGATGCATGAAAAGTAGTTCAGTAACCAAAGGTGACAAAGATTTAAATAGAAAATGTATTAACAAATGAGACAGTATAGGGCATTACTATCCTGCTTTATTGTTATTGCCTAGTTCAGCCTCAGCTTTTAAGTTATCTGTGGTTTGATTAGAGAATTGCTTAGAGACAAAAGAAATGTGGTTTGCCTGTATTTCCTGTTCTTGTCCATACTAAATTCAAACATAAGCTCATTTGTAGAGTGCTGTTGTTAATTTTATTTAGACTTACTTGCAATTGACTGTCTAATCTTGTCTTTCCAAAGTACCTCATGTTTGTACTGTTCTGGAGTTGTAGCACAAGGAGAGGATCTGGCACAAATAATGGGTAGAAAGGGAAAAAGAAAATTTTCATGCTTGCTTACTGTAATGCTAATACAGGAATGCACCTACTACTCCAATACCTAAGGAGATAGCACCTATACTGAGAGAGGTGAATAGCAGGACACTATTGCAGGCTGTGATTAAGACTGCAGCCCCATTTCAGGAAGGTAGGCAAGTACAGGACATCCACCTGCACGCTGGAAAAGGGAGGAGCCCTAAAGCTTTAATGTTGTACTACTCTTGTTTTGAAGATTCATTAATCGGAAATGATACCTCTGTGTGGTGGTTTTGGCTGGGATAGAGTTAATTTTCTTCATAGTAGCTAGTTTGGGGCTATGTTTTGGATTTGTGCTGAAAACAGTGTTGATAATATAGGGATGTTTTAGTTACTGCTGAGCAGTGCTTACACAGAGTCAAGGCCTTTTCTGCTGCTTACACCACCCCACCAGCGAGTAGGCTGGGGGTGCACAAGAAGTCGGGAGGGGACACAGCTGGGACAGCTGACCCCAACTGACCACAGGAATATTCCATACCATGTGACGTCATGCTCAGCATATAAAGCTGGGGGAAGAAGAAGGAAGGGGGGGACATTCGGAGTGATGGCGTTTGTCTTCCCAAGTAGCCATTACATGTGATGGAGCCCTGCTTTCCTGGAGATGGCTGAACACCTGCCTGCCCATGGGAAGCAGTGAATGAATTCCTTGTTTTGCTTTGCTTGCACGCGTGGCTTTTGCTTTACCTATTAAACTGTCTTCATCTCAACCCATGAGTTTTCTCACTTTTACTCTTCTGACTCTCTCCCCCATCCCACCGTTGGGGAGTGACCGAGCGGCTGGGTGGTGCTGAGTTGCCGGCTGGGGTTAAACCATGACACTCTGTTGACATCATGTTTCCTGTCCATCAGCTTGGCTGATCCACTGGGATCAGTGGATCCATTGGGGTGATAGACTGGTCCCTGGGAGCATCCTTTGGGAATCATGGAGCAGTGTGCCTCTGTTGCCCTGTGCTGGGCGTGGCAGCTGAAAGGAGATGGACAAAGCAACTTGCCCAAGGGCCACCCAGGGCTGCAGCCCCAGAGGGGACATCGTCATTGCTCACGGAGCAGCACAGTGCCTCTCCATAGTCATTTGGTGCCTCCGGGAGCGGGATCAGGATCTCTCACAGACCCCAGGCAGCAGAGCAAGAAGGAATGAGGTGCCCTTCACTCCTCTGCTTGGCCTCGTGCCGCTGGAGCTGCCAGACGCTGGAGTAGAGGGAGGGGCTGTGCCTTGGGAGAGGGGTGGGTGGAAAATGGGGGGAGGCTTTGCTGCACCCTCCTCCTCAGCCGCTAGCTACGCAGGGCAGGTTGTGCCCGGGACCTAAAACTCCTCCTGGGAAGACGAGAGACTGCTTGTGCCTCTCGAGCCGCGGGAGCACCGGGGGGACCCGCCTGGAGCGGGGCTGCCGGGAGCAGCAGCTGCCGGGGCGGATCAGCTAGGGGACGGGCTCCTCCCCGCCAGCCCACGGGCGGACCTGCCTCGTCCGCAGCGGGCTATTATTTTCCCGAGTGAATTATTTATCCGCTAAAATGAATGATAAAAAATGGGGGGACAGGCGATAGGGTGAACGCGCGGGTGCTGTGTCCCTGCGGCTGGAAGGGGTCCGGAGGGAGCACGGCCGACCG